GTAGTAGTAGTTAAAAGTAGTAGTAGTAGTAGTAGTAGTAGTAGTAGTAGTAGTAGTAGTAGTAGTAGTATAGTAGTAGTAGTAGTTGGTAGTAGTAGTAGTAGTAGTAGTAGTAGTAGTAGTAGTAGTAGTAGTAGTAGTAGTAGTAGTAGTAGTAGTAGTAGTAGTAGGTAGTAGTGGTAGTGGTAGGTAGTAGTAGTAGTAGTAGTAGTAGTAGTAGTAGTAGTAGTAGTAGTAGTAGTAGTAGTAGTAGTAGTAGTAGTAGTAGTAGGTCGTATTACTACCACAGGCGCTTCAGAGTCCCTCCAGAGGCGCTGCAGAGGCGTCCCAGCGGTTGTTTGAGGGAGTTTCTGTGGAACTCACGTCATCCTCACCCCCGGCGCGAAGAGCACGAGTCCAGAGCGGCCTCCGGCACCGTTTCCGGACGGATCCGGACGGATCCGCTGGATCCGGGGACGAATCCCAAACCGGCGCCCTCGCCTGAGACATCCCCGCAAAAACCGGCCCCGGGGGAGGTGCCCAGAGGAGCCCAGAGCGGCCTCTGGCACCGTTTCCGGACGGATCCGGACGGATCCGCTGGATCCGGGGACGAATCCCAAACCGGCGCCCTCGCCTGAGACATCCCCGCAAAACCGGCCCCGGGGGAGGTGCCCAGAGAAGCCCAGAGCGGCCTCCGGCACCGTTTCCGGACGGATCCGGACGGATCCGCTGGATCCGGGGACGAATCCCAAACCGGCGCCCTCGCCTCAGACATCCCCGGAAAACCGGCCCCGGGGGAGGTGCCCAGAGGAGCCCAGAGCGGCCTCCGGCACCGTTTCCGGACGGATCCGGACGGATCCGCTGGATCCGGGGACGAATCCCAAACCGGCGCCCTCGCCTGAGACATCCCCAAAACCGGCCCCCGGGGGAGGTGCCCACAGGAGCCCAGAGCGGCCTCCGGCACCGTTTCCGGACGGATCCGGACGGATCCGCTGGATCCGGGGACGAATCCCAAACCGGCGCCCTCGCCTGAGACATCCCCGCAAATCCGGCCCCGGGGGAGGTGCCCACAGGAGCCCAGAGCGGCCTCCGGCACCGTTTCCGGACGGATCCGGACGGATCCGCTGGATCCGGGGACGAATCCCAAACCGGCGCCCTCGCTTGAGACATCCTCACAAAACCGGCCCCGGGGGAGGTGCCCAGAGGAGCCCAGAGCGGCCTCCGGCACCGTTTCCGGACAGATCCGGACAGATCCGGTGGATCCGCGCCCCGGGGGAGGTGCCCAGAGGAGGAATGAGGAGGAGGAGGAGGAGGAGGAGGAGGAGGAGGAGGAGGAGGAGGAGGAGAAGATGATGGAGCTGCGGGGTGGAGGAGGACAGACGGAGGCAAGAGAAGGATGGAGGAGGAGGAGGAGGAGGAGGAGGAGGAGGAGGAGGAGGAGGAGGAGGAGGAGGAACCTCATCCTCACCCTCGCCAACAAGCGCACGCACCTTCTTCTATATACAGAAACTCCCGATCAACCGCAGAGCGGCCGGCTAGTAATCATAATCAATCGCGTTGCGATCGGTCCCTGTTCGGTGGTTGTGATCCGCCTGAAGAATCTCGTGAACGGCACGGCCCGAAGTTGTTGCAATCGGCCTTATTCCCAGGGCGGTGCAGGAAGCGCCGCCAAGTGGTGTCGAGCGTCGATCCGAGAAATCCGCGCAAACCTCCGATGTGTTATGCTCGTGCAGTGGAGAGACGAACAAAAACAACGGGTCTTGCGCAAGATGAAATGGCGACCTTACGCGGCGACTTATGCGGGCCGTCAGCGCGGCACGCTGCATTGGAGACGATGGCGCTTACGCGCGACCTTACGCGGGCAGCTCACGCGCCAATGTCGGCGCATGCGACCCCGATGTTTGTTTGCGTCGCTCAGTTGTTATTCCCCAGAGGCAAGGGAAGGAGGCAGAGTCGGCTACATGCAAGAGTGAGCCTGGGCAAGACCGATCGTCGCGCGCGGCGATGCGACAATAGCTGCATACGTGCTTGGGTTCGCTCCCCCCGCGCCCCCCGAAAGGCGCGCACCCAAGGTCACTGCGGCCTAAGGTCACGCTTACGCGTAGCAGACAGAGAGTGGGGAAACCGGAAGGTACCGACACCACTACTCCCCAGACCTCTCTCAGGGTGCGTTCTGACCAGAAGTTCGAAGCGGATCCAGCCGTAGCGATGAAGGCCTCCCAGGAGGCCCCACAAGGGGAAACAGAGGCAAGGGTACCAGTATGGATACCTCCTCCTCCTCCTCCTCCTCCTCCTCCTTCGAGAGAGAGAGAGAGAGAGAGAAAGGGAGGGAGAGAGAGCGAGAGAGAAGACACCTTCTCAGCCGTTGGCGCGAGGGCGCCCTTGGGACTTGTTGTGATTCTCCCTGCGGTCACGGCCGCCACGGCCTGCCGCGGCCACGGCCGTGGCCCTGCCGCCGGGGGCCGCGGGCGTGCGTGCAGCAGGCCCCTCTGCACCGCGGGCCTCTCGACGCCGCGCACGCTCAGAACGCAAAGGACGGCTCCAGCGCGCCGGCGACGCCGAGCGGGGGCCCCCAGGGCGACTCGGCGAAGAGCAGCACGGCGCCCAGGCCCGTGCTGCGGCCGAGGACGAGGAGGCCTCGCTCCGGGTCCTCGCACACCGCCGCAGGCACGAAGCCGGTGGCTGCCAGGCCGCGCGGCCAGGCGGGCCTCCAGCGCCCGACGACGGAGGCGCCGAAGAGGTCCCAGGCCAGGATGTCTCCGCTGTGGAGCACCGCCCAGAGCCTGCCGGAGAGGGGCTCCAGGGTCAGCGCGGCGACGCCGCCCTCGGCGTCCGCGAGGGGCATGGGCGGAGGATCCAACGGGCTGCACGAGCTGAGCATCGGGCCGATGCCCCTCCCCAGCGGCGTGGCCTGGGCCCCACTGGCCGAGTTACCCACCCAGAACCTGGATGATGGGGAGATGGGCCGTTCCCTTCGGGCTTCGAGGGGTGCATCCCCAACTGGGGTGGTAATTTTGCGGGGGTCGCGAAAGGGATGAGGATGGGAATAGGGGTCGGTTTCGGCGGTGGACAAACCTCCCTTTAGTAAACCACCCTTCAGTGAAAGCGGCCTGGGACCGAAACCGACGGACCTGGACCCGCAAAAATGACGGCCGCGACGCCCTCTCGCGAACCGCAAACGGCCAATCCGCTAATCGACGTGTCAGGGCAGGAGGTCGAACGGACAACACGCACCCATACCCATAGCGGGGTCGTCGGGAGGAGGACTGGCTATGGGTATGGGTGCGGGTTGTCGGCCCCCGGGGAACGATCCCGTTCGAGCGGGGACCCCCATCCGACAACACGCACCCATAGCCCTCTCCGATCCCCCTATGGGTATGGGTGTGTGCTGTGTTGGTTCGTCATAGGAGGTCTGCCCACCGCCCACGGTGCAACGATGCTGATGAGCGTGCGCATTCGGAGGCACGCGTGGGCTTCCCGGGTCGGCGCTGGGCCCTCCGGGCAGGGAGTGCCGTCCGACGCGCCGGCCCGCGGAGCCCGCGCGGCCCAGCGAAGCCGCCCGCGGTCGTGCGGCCGGTCGGTTCCCCCGAGGGGCGCGTCCACGCTCGGCCGCACCCGCGCGCCGGGGGGCGGGGGCTGGCCTGGTGGAGCACAAAGGTTCGCGAGGCGTCGGCGCGCGCGAAGGGTTCTGTCCACCGCGTCGATCGCTCAACCTCGAATCGATCGAGGCCCCGATCGTTCAAGGTTGAATTCGGTCGGGCCCAGAGGCGTCACCGTGTCCATCGGTGCTTCCGCGTCGCAGAAAACAGCCTTGAGCGCCTTCGCCGGCGTCGCCGGCGCGCCAACGCCGCATGAACCTACCATGCAGACACCGCTGCGGTGAGGGCATTGCACAAGGAACCCTGAGATAAGGAGCCCAAGGACTGGAGGCCGGTGGAACGCCAATGTTGGCCATGGGTACGGAACACATGGGCACAATGCCCAACAACAATCTTGTCCAAAACCAACAGCGGCCGTTGTTGGGCAGGCGGCATACTGTCTCAAATGGACAACGTCCTCGGCAACACCGACAGCAGAGTCCTGTCCAAAATGAACAGGGAATGCTGTCGGTCGTTGTACCCATTATTTCCGTACCCAGTTCGGTCGTCACGAGCCATGGAAACCGCCGCCTTCATCACATAAGAAACCCTCCAGAGTCTGAAACCTCATGAGCATAGTCCTTCTCAGGCGCCCCCACCGTACTCCGCCCTCTCCCGGGTTACGTTCTGACCAGGACCTCGAGGCGATCTCTGACCCGCGGCGACGAGGCACGGGCAGCGGCATCCCCAAAGAAGTCCGACGCCATACTTTTTGTCACGACGCAGACCCGCGGATATCCGGACCAAGACGAAGCCAGGACGAGGATAAAATTGGGTCAGGATAAATCGAGAATCTCTGAGATCTGGCGGCTCTGCAGGATGTCTCGGGCGCCGCGGCCTTCTCAGAACGTTCCGGAACGCTCTGAGAGCGTTCAAGAACGCTCTCGAGCGGATTTCCTCTCGTCCTATCCCCGCAAGATGGACCCCTTCCCCAGGACCGGCTTTTCATCCTGAGCCGTTCTTGTTGGCGGTCCCCCGACGGCCAGAACTGCTGAAACGCTCTACCGTGATTCTTGTCGCAGCGCGAGGAAGTGGGAGTCGGCATGATGCCCACTGGTGGGCCATTATGCCAGGTCAGGCTGGATTAAGCCTAGAATGAGGCAAGATAAAACGGGATTGAGCTGGATCAAGCGGGATCAAACTGGATTAAGCAGGATTAATCCAGATTCGGCCAGTTTCCGGCTAGGGATATGCAAGCGCCGACTCTGAATTCAACCTCCCAGGAGTTGCATCCTATCAGTTTTCCTCTCTTATGGCCTGGGCCGCCGCCGCCGTCGCCGTCGCCGCCGCCGCCGCGGTCGTCGTCGCCGCCGCCGCCGTGATTTTCGTCGTCGTCGTCGCCGCCGCCGTCGTCGTCGTCGTCGTCGTCGTCGATCTTTTCCTCTTCGCATGGCCTGGGCCCCGAGGCAGCGGCACGACGGCCACCGGCAGCAGCGCGCCGTCCCAGCCCGCCAGCAGCGCGCACCGCCCGCCAGCGGCCGCCTCCCGCGCGGGCAGCAGCGCCGCCACGGCGGCGCAGGGCACGGACGCGCCGGCCAGCAGCGTCCAGGGCGCGCCGTCGATGGGCAGCGGCGGCGGCACCTCGGCTAAGACGGAGCCAGGACGAGGGCAACATCGGGTGAGGATGCATCTCCAGGCTCATGTTACTCCCATCGTACTTACGGACCACATCCCAGACAGAATCTCGAGCACCCAGAACAGTGTCGAAAGAGCGTCGAAAGAGTGTCGAAAGAGTGTCGGACGAGTGTCTCCCAGGGCCCGACACGTGAAGACCCTCGAGTTTCGGTACTTTTCTTTTGGTGCTCGAAATTCTTTCTGGTGAGCAAGGATAGAATATGTTGGATCATCATAACCCCAGGCCGGAAGTTTTTCCTCTTGGACTAGAGTATGAGAACACCGACGGATCCAATTGGATCACTTTTTTTTCGGGTGTGCGACAGCGTCGTGGCTCCTACTTCCGTCTTGCGCGGGTCCAAACTCCCGTGCGTGGAAAACCAATGGATCCATGAATTTTCCGGGAATCGATAGATTATCCGCCGATCCGGCGTGTGAGTTTCTGAAAGCGTGGACGTGAGCTCGCTCAAGCTTCTCTCTGCAAGTGGGGAGGGGGGACGCCATTCCCGACGCCATTCAGTGCTCGGGAGCCGGTTGGGGGGGGGGTCGCTCTGCAAGCGAAGGGGGGTGGACGCCATTCCCGACGCCACTCAGTGCTCGGGAGCCGGGGGGGACTTCGCTCTGCGAGGGGGGGGAATCCATTCCCGACGCCAGTCAGTGCTCGGGGGCGGGGGGGGTTCGCTCTGCAAGGGGGGGGGCGTCAAAGGGGGAGGGGGGGCGCCATTCCCGACGCCGTTCACTGCTTGGGAGCCAGGGGGGGACTTCGCTCTGCAAGGGAGGAGGGGGGCAGGACGCCATTCCCGACGCCATCCAGTGTTCGGGAGCCGGGGGAGAGTTCGCTATACAAGGAAGGGGGGGCGCCATTCCCGACGCCATCCAGTGCTCGGAAGCCGTGGACTTGAGCGCTCTGCAGGGACCGGGGGGGTGTCGCAACCCATTTCCACATGTTCATATTATGAGGATGTCTCGAACGAGCGCTGTATCTTCAGCATACAAAGTCATTCATTCCCATCATCATCGGGAACGCCCCGGATCGGCGGCACACTGGCCGGAGGACGCTACAATAATAGAGAGAGAGAGAGAGAGAGAGCGTGATCCACCGCCGTTTTACAATGGAAAATTCCCCCCCTCCTCCTCCAGAACCCAAGGGTCCCCCCCCTCAAAAAATCCCCTGCTGGACCCCCCCCTTCCCCTGGCAAACCCTCCCCTAACCCCCCCTCGAAAAACCGGGGGGGGTCAATACTGGTTGCAGAAAACCAGAGGAAGGTCAGTACCGGTTCGAACCCCCCCACCCCCCTCCAGAAAACTGGGGGGGGGGCCACTACCTGTTCGACCCCCCCCTTCCCCTCGAAAACCGAAGGGGGTCACTACCGGTTCGAACCCCCCCCCTCGAAAACCGGGGCGGGTCACTACCGGTTCGAACCCCTCCCCCCCCCCTCACCGCCAGCAAACGACTCCGGGCCCCTACCACCGTCCGCACAACATCCCCCACTGCTGTTCCCAGCGCCACTGTCCTCACCACCACTGTCCCCACCCACTGGTTCCACCACCGTCCCTACTGTCCCCACCAGTGCCCCCACCACTGTCGCACTGTCCCCAATGTCCCCACCACTGTTCCCACCACGGCTCCACTCTCCCCACTTTCTCCACGGCCCCAACCACTGCCCGGCTATCCCCACTGTCCCCACTGTCCCACTGTCTCCTCTGCTGTCCCACTGGGCTGTCCCACTGTCCCCCCCACTGTCCCCACTGTACCTCTGTCCCATTGTCCCACCGCCGTCCTGGCCACCGCCCTCACCACTGTCCCCACCACCACTGTACCCTCCACTGTCCCACTGTCCCCACACCACTGTCCCCACCACCACCGTCCACACCACTGTCCCGCTGTCCCCAATGTTCCCACCATTGTCCCCGCTGTCCCCACCAGTGCCCCCACCAGTGTGTCAATGTCCCCTCTCTCCGCACCATTGTCCCGCCACGGTCCCACCCTCCCCACTTCCCCCACGGTCCCCACCACTGCCCCACTGTCCCCACTGTACCCACCACTGTCCCACTGTCCCCGCCGCTGTCCCACTGTGCTGTTCCAGCGTCCCCACTGTCCCCATCACTGTCCCACTGTCCCCAAAATTTTCCCCACCGTGCTACTGTCCCACCACTGTCCTCACCACCGCCTCTGTCCCCACCACTACCGTCCCCACCACTGTCCCACTGTCCCCACCACTGTCCCGCTGTCCCGTCACCACTGTCCCCACCACCACCGTTCCCACCACTGTCCGCACCCCCCCCCGGTTTTCGAAGGGCGGGGGGGTCCGAACAGGTAGTGACCCCCCCGCGGTTTTCGAGGGGGGGGGTTCGAACCGGTAGTGACCCCCCCCCCCATTTTCATGATGGACTGGGGGGGGGGGTTCGAACCGGTAGTGACCCCCCCCGGTTTTCCGGAAGGAGGGGGGGGTCGAACTGGTAGTGACCCCCCTTCGGTTTTTCGCCAGCAACGGCAGAACACGCTCTTTCCAATCATATTAACAGCCCCAGGCCCACGGAAAATGAGATCCGCGGGGCACTGCACGTGAAGCATCATGCTATCCACGGAACTGTGGATCTGCTGACCAAAGTTATACTAGCCGGCCGCTCTGCGGTTGATCGGGAGTTTCTGAAATTGATAACAAGGGTGCGTGGCGCTGTTGGCGAGGGTGAGATGAGTTCCTCCTCCTCCTCCTCCTCCTCCTCCTCCTCCTCCTCCTCCTCCATCCTTCTGTTGCCTCCGTCTGTCCTCCTCCACCCCACAGCTCCGTCATCTTCTCCTCCTCCTCCTCCTCCTCCTCCTCCTCCTCCTCCTCCTCCTCCTCCTCCTCCTCCTCATTCCTCCTCTGGGCACCTCCCCCCGGGCGCGGATCCACCGGATCTGTCCGGATCTGTCCGGAAACGGTGCCGTAAAAGATAAATAAAATAAAAAAAAAAAAAAAATAAAAAAAATAGAAAAAAAAAAAAAAAACGAAAAAAAATAAAATAAAGATAAAAAGAAAAACAAAACAAAAAAAAAAAAAAAAAAAAAACAAAAAAAAACAAATAAAAAAAAAATCAAGAAAAAAGAAAACAAGAAATAAAAAAATAAATAAAAACAAAGTCAAAAATAGAACAAAAAAAGAAAAAACAGCAAGAAGAAAGCCGCTCTGGGCTCCTCTGGGCCCCTCCCCCGGGGCCGGTTTTGTGAGGATGTCTCAAGCGAGGGCGCCGGTTTGGGATTCGTCACCGGATCCAGCGGATCCAGCGGATCCACCGGATCTGTCCGGAAACGGTGCCGGAGGCCGCTCTGGGCTCCTGGGCACCTCCCCCGGGGCCGGTTTTGTGAGGATGTCTCAAGCGAGGGCGCCGGTTTGGGATTCGTCACCGGATCCAGCGGATCCCCCCGCCGACATCCTGTCTCTCAGGAGCTGTGAAAGCCGCTCTATGGCTTTTCTCTGCCACCACCCCCGGGGCCGGATTTGCGGGATGTCTCATGCGAGGCGCCCGTTTGGGATTCGTCACCGGATCCAGCGGATCCACCGGATCTGTCCGGAAACGGTGCCGGAGGCCGCTCTGGGCTTCTCTGGGCACCTCCCCCGGGGCCGGTTTTGTGAGGATGTCTCAAGCGAGGGCGCCGGTTTGGGATTCGTCGGCGGATCCACCGGATCCAGCGGATCCGTCCGGAAACGGTGCCGGAGGCCGCTCTGGGCTCCTCTGGGCACCTCCCCCGGGGCCGGTTTTGCGAGGATGTCTCAAGCGAGGGCGCCGGTTTGGGATTCGTTACCGGATCCAGCGGATCCGTCCGGAAACGGTACCGGAAACGTGCCGAGGCCGCTCTGGCTTCTCTGGGCACCTCCCCCCGGGACCGGTTTTTGCGGGGATGTTCCCAGGCGATGGGCGCCGTTGGGATTCGTTCCCCGTATCCAGCGGATCCCGTCCGGATCCTCCGAAACGGTGCCAGAGGGCCCTCTGGCCCTCTGGCACCTCGCCCGGGCCGGTTATTGCGGGGATGTCTCAGGCCGAGGGCCCGTTATGGATCGTCCCCTATCCACGGATCCGTCCGATTCGGAATCGAAAACGGTACCGGAGGCCGCTCTGGACTCGTGCTCTTCGCGCCGGGGGTGAGGATGACGTGAGTTCCACAGAAACTCCCTCAAATAATACGCGGAAAGTGGTCTTCCCAGGACCGGAGAGAGCAAGACGAGGGAGAGGCCACGAGGAGGGGGAGGAGGGAAAAGGGACCGGGAATAAGGAAGAGAGAGAGGAACATTCAGGGAGGAGGCAGGGGAGGAAAAAGAGATTGAGGAGAAGGATAAGGAGAAGAGGCAGGGGAGGAGAAGGAGGAGGAGGAGGAGAAGGAGGCAATGAGAGAGGAGGAGGAGGAGAGGAGTATGATGTAGTATAGTAGAAGTATGAGTAAGAGTAGAATATGAGTATTCGAGTATGAAATAAGAGTATGATAAGAGTATAGTAAGAAGTAATAGTAAGAGTAAGAGTAAGATAAGAGTAGGAGTCAAGCAGCCAGCTCGAGCGAGTCAAGCATGGCATGCCCAAAAGAACTTTCCTACCCAAGTAATACAAAAACCAAAAGAAAACAAGAGACTTCAAAAAAGAACGCATAATAAATATCCCCTACACAGCAAGTCCCCACCCCGCCCTCCCACAACATAAGAAACAAAGCTGGCACAACTGGGGGCCGAAGTCACACCGGCCAGCCGGTTTGGTACAGCTGATGCGGCCGCGATGGCGGTTGCCGACGGGAACTGGCGAGCGCGTGTTGAATGCCGCGCACGCATTGCCAGACGAGTCGAGAATGGTCCGGTACACCGCAGGAAGCCAGAGGTGGCCGGAGGAAGCCCGACGGTCTGACAGGACACCCCAAAGCATTTTGTGAAAAAGCATTGGGTTTTTGATGTTTTTATGTTGAAATGCTTGCAAACACACTGTGTTCGGTAGGATTCTGACATGAACGCGCGAGTGTGCTCTTTGTGGTATTTTTTGCACAGGATTCGCGGCCTGGGTGCATGACAGAGCATCGCGAGTGCACCGCGCGATGACGTGAAATCGCTGGATTTGACCGAATTCTTAAGATTCCTATGATTTTCCTATGATTTCAGCAAGAGAACCCGGGCGGGAAATTTGTACAATTTTTGTGAAAAAAAGCATTGGGTTTTTGATGTTTTTATGTTGAAATGCTTGCAAACACACGGTGTTCGGTAGGATTCTGACATGAACGCGCGCGTGTGCTCTTTGTGGTATTTTTTGCAATGGATTATCGCCGTGGACGACAGGACGTCCATGTCGAGAGGAAAAAAAAAAAACAAAAAAAAAAAAACAAAAAAAAATGATTTTGTATTGTTTTTTTTACAGGTTAGGAATGGACCACCCGGAATGCTAAGCCCCTATCGCCGGGAGAGGGGGGTAGGAGTATATTCTAATATGGAATAAAGATAGGAGGTATGAGTATGATATAGTATGAGTATGGAATAGTATGAGTATGAGAAGGAGAGGAGGCTGATAGGAGAGGAGGAGGAGGAGGAGAGGGAGCGGAGGAGGAGGGAGGAGGGATGCGGAAGGAGAACAAAAGGAGGGACGAGGAGGTGGGGGGAGGAGGGGGAGGTGGGAGTAGGAGGGAAGAGGGAGGACGGGGAGCACGAGGACACAAAAGCAAAGTGTCAGGATCGGAAGCTCGAGCACCACAGCGGGCCCGGCCACCTCCCTCAACTCCTCCCATAGCATGTGGTTGCTCGAGCGCCACAACGGGCCTGGCCATCTGCCAGAAATCCTCCCATAACATAAGGTTGCTTGAACGCAACAGCGGGCCCGGTCAACTCCCACATCTCCTCCCATAACGTATGGCACGCCCCAGGCCGAAGGGAACGCTACATGTATCCGCTCACCTGAACGCCACGTCGCTTCCGACATCTGGGGCTCAAGAGGAAAATCCCTCGGCCTGCGTAAGGAAGTCGAGAACCTCTGAGATCCAGAGGCTCTGGAGGATGTCTCGGGCGCCGCGGCCTTCTCAGAGCACTCCGGAACGCTAGATTTATCCTTGCCCTAGCCCCGTCCGACCTCCGCCGCAGCCGCCGCCCCGGCGCGCCACATCTGGACGCCGCCCGCGGCGGGCGCGGCCAGCAGGCACGCGGACGCCGCCTGCAGGAGGGCGCTGTGAACTGTGAGCAACCTCACCGGGCCTCGGGACCGTCATCGACCAGAGCGACCCTGGGCAAGAGTGGCCTTTGGTGCGCGGCCTCACGGGGTGACGCGGGATGGCCAAACCTGGGCGGGCAAGCCGCTGCTACCGCGCCGCGGTCAGCGATCGAGGGGCCCCCATTGGGCCCGCACCAAAAGTCGCTTAGGCGACGTCACCGAACGACTCGCAACGAAAAACTGGCCCCGGAGAGAGGGTCGGGGCTTCCGAGGACCCCGCATTTGGAAAACCAGGGCATCGCACGTCTGGGTAGACACCCACACCGATCCTGGGCAGGCTCATCCTGGGCCCCATGCTCGGTGCATGCACACCCTCCGTGCTTGGGCAGGGAGGCATGTGCACTGACCCTGGGCCCAAGATCGGCCGGGCCAGGATCGGCGTAGGACGACAACAACAACAACAACAACAACAACAACAACAACAACAACAACAACAACAACAACAACAACAACAACAACAAGAACCACAACAACAACAACAACAACAACAACAACAACAACAACAACAACAACAACAACAACAACAACAACAACAACAACAACAACACACTCCCGACGTCATAATCCCACCAGCCCTTTGGGCGTGAGTGGTTTAGAGAGCCCGCTCTGTCCTCAACCCCCCTTCTTCCCCTTCGGGGAGGGTTTACCCCTCCCCCTACCCCCTCCCCCTGGGCCTGGAGAGGGAGTCCCGGGGTTCGTCAGGGGGTCTTTTTCGACTCCTGGGAGGGCAAAAAACGACGACCCTCACGAGGATTCTGGCCCCGACGGGGGGGCCGAGTTTGGCCCCTCTGCTCTTCTTTGAAGCCAAAATCATTGATTTTACTACGGTTTTGGCCCCATTTTGGCCTCCTGAGGCGGCCGCGCTCATCTTCCTTCATAGCAAAATCATTGATTTTACGACGGTTTTGGCCTCATTTTGTCCTTCTCAGGGGCCAGCGCTCCTTTGCGCTTCTGAGGAGGTCGCAAGAGGCCCCAAGATGGCCCCAAGAGGCCCCCAGGAGGCTCCCAAGAGGCCTCCAAGAGGCCCCCAAGAGGCCCCCAAGAGGCCCCAAGAGGCCCCCAAGAGGCCCCCAAGAGGCCCCCAAGAGGCCCCCAAGAGGCCCCCAAGAGGCCCCAAGAGGCCCCAAGAGGCCCCCAAGAGGCCCCCAAGAGGCCCCAAGAGGCCCCCAAGAGGCCCCAAGAGGCTCCAAGAGGCCCCCAAGAGGCCCCACGAGGAGCCCGAACGACTCACACCAGGACGAGGGGCCCGAACGACTCACACCACGAAGAGCCCGAACGACTCACACCAGAAGGAGGGGCCCGAACGACTCACACCAGGACGAGGCGCCCGAACGACTCACACCACGAGGAGCCCGAACGACTCACACCACGACGCGGGCCCCGAACGACTCACACCACGAGGAGCCCGAACGAGTCACACCAGGAGGAGGGGCCCGAACGACTCACACCAGGATGAGGGGCCCGAACAACTCACACCACGAGAAGCCCGAACGACTCACACCAGGACGAAGAGCCCGAACGACTCACACCACGAAGAGCCCGAACGACTCACACCAGGAAGAAGGGCCCGAACGACTCACACCAGGACGAGAAACCCCGAACGACTCAAATCACGAGGAGCGCTTTCTCTCCCTCCTCCTCCGCCTCGTCCTTCTCCCGCTCCCCCCACAAGGAGGATGTACAAGGAGGCGGGAGGAAGGACGGACAGGGGACATATGCGGGGCCAAGCGGACACACGCCTGAAAAACACGACTGTCGGTATGCTTCGCAAGAGTTGCTGCTGTGAGATGGGCTGGTGGGGATACGCGAAGCGTAAAGAATTTTTTCAGAACGTGGACCCCCAGAGCTCTGGACACACTCCCCGGGACCGGCTTCTCATGCTGAATCGATGTTTGACGGCCCCAGGGCCCAGCGAGAGCCCCCGGGGGCCGAAACTCCCACCAGCCCTTTGCGCTAAGGTGGTCCAAAGAAGTCATTCATTCCTCTTCCAGAAACCTCTTCTCTTCCAGGAGGTTTACCTCCCCCCCCTCCCTGAGGTTTTTTCGGGGGTGCCGCGGAATGTCAAGACGCCAAAGGTGGCCCAAGATGGCTCCAACTCTCCAAGAGGGCCTCCAAGATGGCTCAAAATAGCCGACGATGGTTCAAGATAGCTTCCGGCATACTTCCAAGAAGCTCGACGAGGGCCACACGACGGTTCCAAGTGCTCTCGGAGTCATCTCAGAACCCTCCCCCAGGAGGCCAAAATCTGTCAAAAGCCACAGAGGAATTAATAAATTGTGCCTTCTCGCCTTTTCACTTCCGATGCGATCTCAGGCCTCAAGATGGCCCCAAGATGGCCCAAGGGAGGTCCAAGAGGGGCCCAAGAGGCCCCCCCAGACGGCCCAAATTGCGCCCAAGAGCGCCCCAAGAGGGCCTCAAGACTCAAGAGCGCCTCAAGAGGCGATGTTGTTGGCCCCAGGGGGGAGGCAAATGTAGGACCCCTCTTTTGATCGATGGCCTCCATCGGCCTCAAGAGGCCCTCCATGGCTCCCACGAGACCGCCAAGAGAGCTCCAAGAGGACCCCAAGAGACCCCCAAGACCCCCCAAAGAGCCCAAAGAGGACCCCAAGATCCCCCAAAAGAGTCCCAAGAGGGCTCCGAGAGGCGATGTGAGGGCTATGCCCTCGTCCTCGCTGTCCTCCTCTTCTTCCTCTTTCTCCTCCTCCTCCTCCTCCTCCTCCTCATCCTCCTCGTCCTCCTCGTTCTTGCCCTCATCGTCTTCCTTTTCCTTTTCCTCCTCTTCCTCGTCGTCGTGGTCGTCCTCCTCCTCCTCCTCCTCCTCCTCCTCCTCCTCCTCCTCCTCCTCCTCCTCCTTCCCTCGCCCCCATGTGGGCCCAAGGGGTCGCCCAAAGAGGCCCTCTAGGGCCACCCCCTTGCTCCGAGAGATCTTCCTGTTCACCCTGGTTGCCCGCTTTGTTTCGCGGCACGTGTCGCTTCGTCCCTTTTCCTGTCAACTCTCATGGGCAGGGTTTCCGAATGGGCTGGTGGGGATTGTTTTTGCTGGTCGCGGCCGCAAGCGAAAGCGCAGGCGGCGTCCGAAGTCAGCCCGGGCTACGAGCGAAACCTAATTACCTAGCACACGAACTAACGGCCGCCGGCTGGTGGGGACACCCGAAGCGTGAAGAATTGCCAACAACCAGCCGTCGTGATTTTTTTCTCACGATGCGACCATGTCTCGGCACAGCTGTCCTGCGCCCAGGATCGGCCTGACCAAAATCGTTACAGGTGAAAGTCGGCGGAGGACAAACCTCCCTTCAATAAACCCCCGTTTCGTGAAAACGGCCTGGGACCAAAACCGACGGACCTGGACCCGCAAAAATGACGGCATCGACGCCCTCTCGCGAACGGAAAACGGCCAATCCGCTAACCGACGTGTCAGGGTAGGAGGTCTACCAACCCCGAGAGAGGGCGGCTTCCCCCCGTCGGCCACACGCAAGAGCGACCCTGCAGGCAAGGAGTGGCCCGTGGTGCGCGGCTGAGGGGGCCGCGTGGGGGCCAAAAGCCACGCGCGCAGGCC